ATTCTTGGGTTCAAGTATTTTCAGCACCTCTGATATCATTTCTCTAGTTGATATTGATGGCTTTGAAGCTGCTTCGAGTCGCTCAGCAATGTTGTTCAGTTTAATTATTTTCAGCGCCTTTGTCATTTTGATGGTGTAACGTTGATCCATGTGAGTACATATCTCAGAAAAGCCATCATGAGCTTGTTGAAATAAGGCCCCTAGTTGTGTGGATATCGTGTTCTCAGGGAAATCCTCCTCCAGTTTTGCCAGAAATGAATATGCACGTTCTAGTTGTTCTCTAGTCCTCTTCAATTGATAAGTCGTGGAACTATGTAAATGCCTTCCCTGCAGAAGGTATATGGCACGTATCACTGCATCACACTCCTGTGACATCTTTTTCAGTTTCCTCTAATTCTTCATAAATCCAATCCTGCAAGTAATTAATACTATCTTAATTCAGAGTACATATTTACATTTTCTGGCTCAACGGCCAATATTAATGCATACACTTTGTTATTCCGACTTATAATTGTTGATGGATGATTATCGGTGGATGTAATTATATTGCTCATCACAGTCACTTTATGTTAATGCATACACTTAGTTATTCTAATGTATAATCCTTGATTGATGATTGTTGATGGATATTATTGCTCATCACATATGCAACAAAAAAGAGGTAAATCTATTTATTCTTTTGTTAGTTATTGAGGAAGTTCCTCCATTCTTTTAAACTGGAACTGTTTCTCTGTTTAATTTTTGTTATTTAAAAGTTTTAGAATTCATTAGCTATTTTATTGTTTTTAGTCTACTCTATTTCATCTTATTTTCGAATATTTGTGGGATGAACATAATGTACATATGAAGTTGTATAATTTATTGTGATGCTTTAATAATGTAATGGATATTGATAATTTTTTATATATTCTCTTCAAACATTATATGACATCTTCACAACTAATAACTCGTGTGAAATCTACGTATCAAAATGATACAATTTCTTAAAACTATTTGATATGATTGTCAGATTGTCCATTTGATGTTAAGCTTTAATTTGGTGTTACACTCCTTCTCTTTTGATTACTTAATTTTAGGAATGACTATTTATACATATTGTAATTGTATTTAAATCATTTACAAATATTTATACTAAGTAGCGTGAAATACACACATATTTTCTATTATGAAATTTAATTTTTTTTTAATTATATAGAAATTTTGTAGTAATTACAAGGGATAAACGTGCAACGCACGTTTCCAAAAACTAGTATTATTAAAAGTGGAAAGCATCAAAGTGCAAAGTTGAATTACCATTTTGCTCCTATACTAAATTAAAATGTTGTAAAGTATTTAAATTAATTAATTATTAACTACTAATCCAACACAAAAGTTAATTATTTATTCATTAGTTATGAGTTAAACCTCCTCCAATATGGCTTTTAAGCAATTTTAGTTTTCTAAGCATCAAGATATTTTCAATTTCCTAAGCATCAAGATATTTTCAGTTTTCTAAGATGTATATTTAATTAAATTAACTTAAATTGTACAACAGATGCATGTAATCTCTTTAGTTAGGACTATGAATAGCTAACTTCATTAAATCTTATATATTGTAATCTATTATCATTTTTTTACTTTTTATCCTCTCTATATAGTTCTCGGTATTTCTTGTATTTGTTTTTCTTTAATATATATCTTTTTCTTGATTTGTTTTTGCTAATCATTAATTCTTATATATTTTTCTTTTGTTTCAGGTTTTTACCTTACAATTTTGAATTCTTCACTTCTCATTCACATCATTAGGTAAGTAATGAGTACGATATTCGTTTTCACAAAAATATAATGCAATCTGTAGGAAAATTGTGATATGTATGATATTTTTTAGTAGTATAAATGATATAGACTTTAGATTCATAAAAAAATATTATTCCTTTGAGTGGATACTTTTTTGAAGATGTACACCCAGTATTTTTAAATAAGATATTTTAAATATTTCAATCATTTATATCAAGCTCCTTATTCGTGAGTATAGATCAATTATATTATATTCCATAATATGATTATATTTAAATAATTTAATTAATATTTTCATGTCAAATTTACATGTGGAAGGACTCATAATCTTGAATCAAACAAAGAAAGTTGTACGTGCAATTGGATTTTTATATATCAATTAAATTTTCTAATGTCTCTAATTATTAACTATCTCTATCACAAATAAACACTATTTTTCAAGTGTATCCCATGAAATTGACAATGATACATTATCCACCTTAAAGAAATATATGTTGATCAGTATTTGTACAACATGAAATACGACTTTTATTCGGCAACAACTTCTTGATATGCATGTGTCTATAAAAAGGAGGTTACAGTTTCTTATAGAAGATACAAACTTTAAGATGTGTGAAACACCTGTAAACATAATCAACGTTACTTATGTCACATATAAACTATTTATTGTTGAAATATTAAAAAAATAAGGGAAGTGTTTTATTAAGTATAAGATACAGTAGAACTATATAAGAAAAATATCACATACCAATTCAATTGATTGTGTATAATTACAGACAATTATACTTCTCTTTCAAAATTTAGTTTCTCAATATTACTTGCAAGTTTTAGTAGCATCTATATCATTTAATTTTTTGTACTTCTTATCTCCCCCTCTTTTCTTACTTTTTAAATATTCATTTGTTTGAGTCAGATAAATATTTTGTAACTTCTAACCGCATTTATGTTGATTATGTTGCGATTCAATATATGTATCGATTTGGAAGATTTACTAACATTAGCTTATGAGTTATATTTATGTTTACTTTTTTATGCATGTTTGTTTTTTTATTTATGGCACATAGCAAATCCAACAATATATGTACCATTTACAATTTATCAGTACAAGATTTATATTAAGTAGTTAAAATAAACGTGCAACGCACGTTCTCAGGACTAGTATATATATATTATATATATATATATATATAAGAAAGAAAGATAGGATACCATTTTCCTATCTAATTTCTAAAGAGCAAATTAGGCCTGTGTATGGCTAAAATATATGGCCAAAGGATGCATGTGTATGAAATACTTATAGTAATTAATAATGAGAGATCCATACCTGTGAATTATTGTGATCTGCACTCTCAAAGTTCATCCTCCAATAATCCCTTTCATCTTCAATAATTACTTGATTTTCTCTTAAAAATACAGAAAAAAAGTGACTAGTTTGAATTCCTTTCAATGCTCTTCTCTTCATTTCTAATTCTAAAAATCAAAAAGTCAAATCATGTCAGCCAAGGGAAAGGAGACTAATAAAAAGAACACTGATTAGTTCCTACTTTACTTTTTTTCCTCTAGTGGAGAACAGATGGACCTATGGAATATTAATTTTTTATTTTTTATTTTATGATCATGAGCTTTCGCGCACCTCGACTAATATCGGATATCTACCATCTCCCACCACCAACAATTTTTTTCTTAACCTTTCTTGCAAGAAAAACATGAGCAATTTGATTTTGTACTCTTTAACAAATTTATATTTAATTTTCTGTTGTTTTACGCACTGGCGGCTGGTGAGGCTTAAAGAAAATTCTTCGCCTTAGGCCCCAATTTTAGGGGCCCCATTTTTTTGTTAATTAGGTAGGATTAAACTAAAAAAAAAATTAAAATTAAGACAACAAATGCAAACGACATTAATGAAGTGATAGATATGATAATTACTTTTTATCTTTTCAATAAAAAGTTGTGGTACCTTTTTTGAATGTACAAGTTATCTTTTTTTTTACCTTATACTTTTCTAATTTATTTTTATATATTCTATCCTCCCCTCTTCCTCTCTTCTATTTCTTCTCACTTTCTCTTTTTTAATCTTACATCTCTCTTATTCAAAGCTATGATTACGGCTAAGAAAATTGCATTAGAGATGAATATAGAACCTGAATTTCATAAGAAACGTGTAATTTATAGAAAAAAAACATTTTGATGAAAATGTTGATAATGAAATCACAAGATCTCTTGAAGAATCATTTAGAGTTGATAACTTCTTATACATAGTAAACCAAGCCATATTTTCACTTCAAAATAGATTTGAACAATTTGAAGTATATGAAAGTATTTTTGGTTTTATATTTAGTGAAAAAAAATTGAGATCATTGGATGATGAGAATTTAAAAAAATATTGACTTAATCTTGAATGTTCCTTAAAACATAATACTCACTTCGATATTGACGGTTTAGACTTATTTTCTGAATTAAAAGTGTTAAAGAAAATCATAAAAGTAGAAGACAATACTCTAATTGAGATAATCAAATAAAAAAATTTGATTCTTTTCCAAATGCTTACATTGCTTATGGAATAATGTTAACAATTCTTGTAACAGTCGCCTCAGCAGAAAAAAGTTTTTTAAAATTAAAAATAATAAAATCTTATTTAAGATCAACAATGTCTCAAGAAAGATTAAGTGGTTTGGCTATATTATCGATTGAAAAAGAATTATTAAAAGAGATTGACTACATAAAAATTATTAATAACTTTGCATCTCAAAAAGCTAGAAAAATAGACTTAAAATAAAAATATTTATAATTTTTTAATCTTTTTAAGGCCTCTAGTTTGATTTTGGCTTTAGGCCACCAACGAATTTGAGCCGCCCCTGATTTTACGAGTACTTTTTTATTTTCATTTTTACACGTAAAAATATCAAAAGATCACTCATTAATTATTTTTCTTGATATGACCGACAGATGGAAGATTATACTAATAGTTTACAGACCCCACTAAAAGTTTGTATCTTTATCTTCTTATAATAATAAAGTTTACAGACCTCACATACTTAATAATTGCTACTAGACAAAAAAAAAATGAGTGTGCGCACCCCTTTCATAACTTTATTTATCAGTTATCTATTGATTTACCTTAAAGTTCACCTACCAATCTAGTAAGCAGATAGAGTAGAACATAAGGACTTGAAAGTATAAAAGATCAATGAATAGCATAGTATGAACTATGAAATCTCCACTTCACTTAATGAGAATGGCAAGCCTATGGCGTTTTATTACTCATAAATCTCAAAATCTTTCTTATAAAAAGAACAAATGAAATCATAATTACATAGCATATCATTTCAAAAATTGAAAGAACAAGAGGGAATGTATCATATATGAACTCAGCTTACACATGACTTATTCCCTTTTCTTTTACAAAATGAATACATACATTCAACAGCAATGAGATACTTCTCACTTCAACTTTAGCAACTCAAGGATGATAAGAATCGAGAACGAAAAATGGATGTCATCTAGGTCCAGAAAGTTCCATTGGTTCAACTAGTGAAGAGTCTTCGACGTAGTTGGAATATCTTTGTGGTGTATGTTCAAAAGCTCGGTTTCTTGGAGTCTCGAGCTTTTGTGATGCCTCCCATTTTTCAGCCAATCCATCGCCCTCTAACATCCTTAATGCTTCGGACATTTTTGGGCGATGAGAAGGGTTGACATGGGTGCATAGAAGGGCAACTTTAACCATCTCTTCTAGCTCAATCTGGTCAAAGTTATTTTTCAAATTGTTATCTACCATAAGGTTCAGTTTCTCCTCTTGATGCAGCTTTCTCACCTGCATATCATTAGCAGTAATTAAACGAGAGAGTTCGTTGAAGTATGCTAATGGAAAAGAGCCTTGTAAACTAGATGTACACAATACTAGCTAGCTATATTTGAGGTTTGAACCTACAACTCCTTATAACTGAAAAGAGAACAGCTATGAGAAAGAGAGAGAGGAGAGACGCATAACCCGCCTCTGTATAGCTTATTCCCTCTCACAACCCACAGTACATATTTCAAACAGTACTTGGTACAACATCCAGAGAAAGAGAAAGAGGAGAGACGCACCCAATCAAGCATAACAACACCTTTCTGGTTGGCCCCTCGACCAAAGTCCATAGCTTTCTGGCCAGTAATCAGCTCAAGTAGCAAGATTCCAAACCCAAAAACGTCAGTTTTTTCAGATGATTGGCCAGTAGACAAATATTCTGGAGCAATGTGGCCAATGGTGCCCCTAACAGCAGTTGTCACATGGGAATCATGGTGATCCAAGAGCTTTGCCAACCCAAAATCACCAACTACTGCCTCAAATTCTTCATCCAACAGAATGTTTGCTGCTTTGACATCACGATGGATAATTTTGGGATCACACTGCTCATGCAAGTAAACTAGCCCTCTTGCTGTACCTTGTGCTATCTTTTTCCGCCTTGACCAGTCTAAAACTGGTTTACCATTTATGCTATCTGCAAATTTTAGAAACCACAATGCATTTTCAATCAAGCCAATATATGTATCAGCTTCAACTGTTACAAAATTCAGTTATTTGGAAACTATTAAAAAGTAACTGATAAAGTTCCAGAAAAGCAAAATGAACTTGGCTTTCGAACATGCAGAAACATACAACAATGGTTTCAGCCAGCAGCAAACTGATAATGTCTTATCATATAACTACAGCAGTACAGAGTATGTGAAGGTGGGCAGCCCACGGCGGGCTCAAGGATGGACTGACGTAAGGGTGGGTCGTAACATCTAAGCTTGTACTTAACCAGAATTATATTTGTCCGTACACCTTTTACAGCTTTAAGAACTCAAATTCATACTATCCACATTCTAAAATTTATATGATGTTCTCTTTAACAAGTATAATAACCACTATTTAATAAATTTATTCTACTACAAAGTAATAAATGAAAGAAATTAAAATTTTAAACTCTGTATCCTATCAATTATCTGTCAAACAAAATGAATGAAGGGAGTAGTAACAAACAAACACCATGTGAGAATATTTAACTTTTATAAATGGAAATGTTGGACTCATTATCTGAAATCAATAGTGAGTATTATGTATTAACACATGGAGGCAAGAGCTAACCTTTTAATCGTGATGCTACACTTCCATTTGGCATATAGGGGTAAACAAGAAGCCGTTCACTTTCAGTTGAACAAAACCCCAGAAGATGGAGAAGATTCCGATGGACAGCCAAACTAATCAATTCTACTTCTGTCTGAAATTGATTTTCACCACCAACAGCATTGTAGTCGTTCAATCGTTTGACGGCCACAACAGTACCATTGTTTAAGCTGGCCTTGTACACAACCCCAAATCCTCCCTTTCCCAAAATACGTTTTGAGCTGAAATGGTCAGTGGCAGTCCGCAGTTCCTTAAGGGTGTACCTTTTCAGGTGACCCAAGCATACCTCTGGATAACAATGATCTGCATTTGAGAAGTCGTTACTCAGATACAGCTTTGAGGAATAGTTAGAGACAGATGGAGAAAATCTTTTGAAAAGTGAAACAGGGAGAAAATAATAGAGGTTGGCAAAAAGGTCCCAAAACTGATCCACATTTATGAATCAGACAACCAAAGTACAAGATTATCAAGAGTAACTTTCAACGCAATAAAGGTGGCAAGGCAATTCACCAGGCATGGTGGCCCGAGAGAGTGAACATAACACCATCTTCCTTTTTACAGAAATATTTACTTCAACTTGCACAAGAAAATGCAAGTGTAATTATTCAGATATGTGATTAACAAATTATTCTGTCAATGTTTGGAACTAAATGTTTAAGGTAGCCTGTAGTGGATCAGGACTTGTCCCGATAACAACGAAATTCAAACAACTTTTCTGAGTCCTTACTAGGAAAATTGACCAGAACTACTGAGTATGCCAAAGGGCATAATTTTCTAACTGACGGGGTTCGAAAGTTCTTCATATACAACAGGTTTATTGAATATGGTAAACACAGAATTTATCCCCAATTCCTATTACTTGACCACTCATGTCCTCTCTAAAACTAAACAAATGAATTTAAAATCAGCAATCACAAAAATCTTTTTAGAGATTAAAATAAAGATTCAAACCACAAACAGGTGACTCTGTAACATCCTAGCTTAAAAAATATTCACATGATACCTAACACCAATCACTCAGACAATAATGAAAAGCTCACTTGGCTCAACTTATATATCTGTGGCAGGAAAAGAATCAGAAATGCAGAACTAATAAAAGCTCAAATTATCATAAAGAAGAGGGGGGGAAAGTAAATCAACTAACCATTGACATCAAAGAAGATCTGCTGATTATTTCTGTAGCGCCACCAAAGAAGCAAAGCCAGGGCTATTATGACCAAGAAAGCAGCACCAAAACTTGCAACAAACGCAACAACCACGCGACGGCTCTTGCGTGCAGCACCAGATTGATCTGTGATATCAAAAATAATAGATCCAACACATTTTCAATAACACAAATAGCAAAACTTCCTCAGTATGTATAATATGTTTTAACAGTTTTCCATTTTCAGGTGCAAGGGAAGGGACTTGAGCATGAAAATGCTATCTGTACCTGCCAGACTATCAGGTGGGAAGGACAGTGGTTCTGGATAGACTGCTGAGCAATTATTCTCAGAACCTTGACCACAAATTAAAGGATTCCCGAGCACTCTGAAAGCCATGAAGAGGAAGTCAATCTCACTATAGTGCAGAATACTAATGAAATACTTTTCAAGTACCAGTTTACCCAAAAGCATTTGTCAATGTATTTTTAATAATGGATTTTTATCAACTAAGCATCGAGATTTACAGGTACAGCCGTACAGCAATAGTTTAACTTCAATAATATTAAGATAACTACTTGAAAATGAAATAATGAGTATATTACGGCAATAGAAAAGGCCGACTTACTTGAAAGCTCGTGCTGATATTTTAGGAAGGGTACCACTTAGATTATTATAAGAGACATCCCTGCAAGCAATGATCAGCTAAGTCAATCACAAGGATGAGGACGAAACAGAAGATTTGAGTCAATAGGTAGCATGATGTATTCAATCTTTGACAGAGTGAAATATATGGTTGGAGTCTTGAAAGTGAATAATAATAAGTGAAAATTCATGAACTCACAAATAATTCAAATTCTTCAGGTCTTCAAAGGAAGTGGGTATTTCGCCTTCAAATTTATTGTTGGAAAGATCAAGTGTCTGAAGCTTTTGTAACTTCCCAATCACATCAGGAATATGACCAGAAATGGCATTGTTTTGCAACAATCTACATGAACAAGTTAAGAACAGTTTGCCAGAAAATGGCTTAATAACACTAAGAAAATCATATAAGAAGTGACCTTACGTATTACGGAACCAAGTAGCAGCAACTAAGAGATGTATATAGTCAAGAACTTACACATATTGCAAGTTAGTAAGATTGCCAATTCCAGGCGATAAGGTGCCAGCTAGACTTTGACTAGGTAGTGCTCTGATGCAAGAGAAAATATTCAGCGATAAATTTACTGGATTAAATCAGGCCTTTTCATGAGCCAACTAAGTTTCTACTAAATTACTCTTTCATCCAAACAACTTACAGAGCAGACACATAGCCATCCAAGGAGCAAGTGACCATTCTCCAACTGCAGGGGTCTACAGAATTCACATCCCAATTGTCCAGAACATTATAGGGGTCATGTAAGGCCTTCTTAATTTCCGTCAAAGCTACAACTGCACATTATTATATGGAAAAACAGTCACTCTATTAGATTACTTCCACTGTTTTCACTTTTCAGTTTGTCATTGCATCAAAGATTCAATATAACGAGAGGAAATCGTAGAGAAAAAAGATAGAACACATAGTCACATACTCATATACATTGCAAAGGACTAAGGGGTTCAAATTATGAAGAAGTAAACACAGGACGAATACAAGGGGATTCAATGTCTATTAAATATACATAAAAATATTCGTAACCTTAGATATACAGTTTAATTTTCCGTCGAAGGGGATTCAGATGAACCCCTTGCACGCATGTGGCTCTAACCCTGATCCAGAGGAATTAACAAGTTCTTCTACTCTTAAGCTTAATTTGATAAAAGGAAATTTTCAGTACAAGTGAGAAATTTCAAGAAAGAAGCTAACCTTCATAGTTTACACCAGCAGGAGAAAGTGTAGCAGAAGAATTCTCCATCAATGTACAAAACAGTAGCAGCCCCACATTCCAAAACAGATACAACATTCTTTCCACTACAGATTTCTACAATCTCACCTACTCAACAAAGTAATTTTTCTAACAAAACCCCATAATTTATCATTAAAAAAAATGCCCTTTTTATCCATTTCAACCCCTCCACAAACACCTGATAAACTTGCTCATTTCAAGATTGAAAATCTCGAACACACAGATGATAAAGTTTCAGTGTTTTCATAACTAGCTCTTTCAAGAAACTGGAAAAAGCTCAAACACCCAAATGACAAAGTCTCTGTATTTACACAACTAGTTCATTTCAAGATTGCAAACCTCAAACACCCAAATGACAAAGTTTCAATCTTTACACAACTAGCTTTCAAGAATTGGAAAATCTCAAACACCCAAATGACAAAGTTTCAGTCTTTACACAACTAGCTCATTTCAAGATTGAAAACCTCAAACACTCAGATGATAAAGTTTCAGTCTTTACACAACTAGCTTTTCAAGAACTGGAAAAAGCTCAAACACCCAAATGATAAAGTTCCAGTCTTTATACAACTAGCTCTTTCAAGAAACTGAAAAAACCTCAAACACCCAAATGACAAAGTTTCAGTCGTTACACAACTAGCACTTTCAAGAACTGGAAAAACCTCAAAACACCCAAATGCCAAGTTTCTTTCTTTTACTCAATTATGCTAAAACTGGCAACATTGAGCTTAAAAGGAAATAAAGACAGAATTTTTCTCGAGAAAGGGAAAAAAACAACACAATGACTAAAAAAGCCTGGAATTCTGGAAACCGTGAGATCTAGGAATGTGTTAGTAACTGACCCCCAAAAATTCTTCTCGGTGAATTTTAACTTAAAAGTTACTAAAAAGGTTTTTTTTTCCCCTTCCCATCAAATCCTTTTCAATATCATTATCATCATCTCCCTCTATTATTATTATGCCTCGTCACTCTTTTTTATATTTAACCAGAAAAATACAAACCTCAGAATATGCCAAACTTTAGACCAGAAACTCTCAGACAGAGATGTGGACACCTTTAAAAGTTGAGAATACAAAGTAGTAGTAAAAAAACATGTACTTTTCCCTCTCCAATTTTTTTAAAAAATTTGGATGCATTTTGGCAGTTGAATTCTTGTTTATCTGAAACTATATAAGTAATTCATATAACCAAGAAATTGCAGAGATGAAATAAAATTAATTGATTAGTAGTCTAAACGAAAAATTGTTCAAAAATGAACCACATGTATTTTTTTCAAATGACTACTGATGTTCGGGAATGGAAAGAATTACCTAGTTTTCTTTTTTTTTCACTGTTGAGCGCATTTTTTTAAAAAAAAATCACATCTAATCAAATATCAAATAAATTACGATGGAATGAGCATGATATATATAGCTCGATCCTTTCATTTTATTAAATACTTATAATAGATAAAGATGAATTTTGGCTCTAACTAAACTCTAAAAGTTAGTTCACAATGGGATGATTACTCGAGTTCATATAAGAAGACCAATTTTTCATCCTTTTTTCAATACGAGAATTCTTAACACTTTCATGTATGCCCAGACCTTGTTAACTGGAGCGTGAACACTATAATATGGAAGACCAACATTAATAAAAAAATTGTCCAAATCGATACAAGGAGCCAAATTTCTAAAAACATTTTCATCTCCATGTGAGGCTCAAGTACTTGCATAGCTAGGTAATGTGTGCAATACGGCACTGGTATCATGGTAGATGTGGGATATGAGAGAGTGATCCATTGCTACAGTTAGCAACGACAAAATGAATCCATTTTTAATTAGTTCGTCCGATCCGCTTATATTTTAATGAATTAATTAGAGTTGTGCATTCAATTTATCGATTTGGTTTTAATTTTTTGGTTTTTGATTGTGAAGAAGTGTAATCCAATGAAACCAAAATAAATTTGATTTGGTTTGATTTTTCTCTTTTCTGTTTGGTTTTTAGTTCGGTTATGTCAATGATTTGGAACATAATCAAAATTCTATTTACAATTTTAAAACTATATATATATATATATATATCATATTTTTCTAAATTCGAAATCAAACCCAAAAAAAAAGAAGTAAATTACTAATCTAAAATCAAATCAAAAGGCCAAAAAATCAATTTAAATTAGAATTTGATTTGATTTGGTTTGATTTTTCGATTTATCCAAATAGTATGCACTCTTAGTTAATATCATAAAACTTCATTTGATTTAATTATGAGAATTTATCTGTTTGTTTAGATTCAGTTAAGTCACTTAATTTATAATTTTTCTTCTCTAACAAATCACTCAATCATATGATCAATGATTCATTTTTACAACAATTGTTTAGATTCAGTTAAGTCACTTAATTTATAATTTATAATTTTTCTTCTCTAACAAATCACTCAATCATATTTCTTTTCAATAAGAGAAATCACCGTTGATTAAAGTGCTATCGAATTTCCTTTTTCATTGTAATTTAAATTTTCAAAAGAATGAAATTCAAAAAGTTGAGTAACAAAGTAACCTCATACATATATGCAATACTTTCATTTGAAATTTTGAATTTGTTTTTCTGTTTAACTTTTTATTTGTATTTTTCTTCTATTATGTAGAAAAATGGGTTGGTTATGGATAGAGGGTGATAATTGGATGGGGTTGAGTTTATGATCTATTTTTGTTTAATTGATATCGGACCTTTGGTCATGTTTTATGGTAAATTTTGAAAGAAAAAAAAAGTAGTTTTTATTTTAAAGTGAAAATTGATATTTGAAAATAGTTGTGTTTGACAATAAATATAAATTGAAATTGTTTTTTATAAGAAATTTGAAGTAAAAAAAGTTAAAACATCTTTTTATTATTTTCAAAGTCTTGAAAATTTTGAAGCCAACTTAAATTTATATCTAAAACATTTTGATCAAACGCGTTTTTCTAAGTACAACTCCAAAAACAAATCATAAATATTTTCTTTAACCTGTTCAAATTCAATCCAACCAATCCAATTATCACCCCTAGCTGAAATTAAGAACCTATATGGTCATTCATCAAATTTGAGAAAACTGTATTATTAAACTCTGTCGAAAATAGAGTTATGTATGAAATTAAAGATTGACTTCTTCTATTTCAATTTCTTTTTCTTATTTTCTTAGTCCATTTTTCTTTTTTGAAAAAAAAAACGTACTTATTATCCTTTTAAGAAATTCTTTAATTTATACCTTTTATATAATTATATTTCAAATTAAGATTTAAAGATATTTTAATTTATTATATATTTGTAATATATTAATTACTGACAGGGACGTAATGTCAAGTTGTCCACTATGTTTATTGCCTATCAATGAATAAAGACTGCTATTGCATTTTTTTTCCCCTCTTTTTGTTATTTTATCAGTCTATTTTCTGTTTTGATACGTCCAAATATTGCTCCGAATTTTGTCTCACACATGAGGCAAGTGAATGAGGCATATATGCGTAGAATTTACTCTCATTTCAATTTTATTTTTTACGTGATGATCTGTTTGTGATGTTATCTCGCCCAAATTGAGGGGACATATTAGGATTTCTAGTCTAATATTTCTAATCTAGTACTTGTAGAAGCCTTATGGTTTGAATTATGTTATATTACATCTCAATGTATTTGTACGATATAGATAGCAAATGATGTATATTGACTTCTTGAGCACTGAGTTATTTGTTACATTACCAAATTGCCTGACTATATTATTTTTTCATATATATTCAAATTGAAAATAATGTTATTTTTGTTTATTGAATATAAATATAGGATTAATAATCCAGCTTTCTTTTTCAGAAAATAAATTATGGAAAAAAAGAAGTTATTACTCATGACTTGTAGTCATTTGCCCTTTGTCACGATCCAGACCGTCGTAATTGGCACCTATCAAAACATACTCAATTGAAGAAGAAAACTGTAAAACGTAGAGAGCATTTGTGGGAGCTTTTCTTCATAGACTCAAAAACTGTGAAGTTATGTACAGGACTAATGCTTTTATACATTGATGGACTAACTAACAAACTTGTAACTAACTAACAACTTGTAACAAACTTAATTAATAATCCAGTGTGCAGACGTCTTCAAGGCACTGATGTCCACTTGATCAATTCCTCAACATCCCCCCTCAAGCTAGGAGCCATGAAGATGTTCTTCATGCCTAGCTTGGACACCAAATAAGTATGTTGACCAATACCAAGTCCTTTGGTAAGGATATCAGTCTGTTGTTCAATAGTGGGAATATGCAGCAGCTTCACGAAGCCCATTTGCACCTTTTCTCTGATGAAGTGACAATCAATGTCAATGTGTTTGGTATGTTCATGGAAAACAGGATTAGTGGCAATCTGGATCGCAGACTTGCTATCACAAAACACAGTTACACAGGACCATTAAGACCAACTCCAAGCTCTGAAAGTAACCCCCTCAACCAAACAAGTTCAGCTACAGTGGAGGCTAAGCTCCTATACTCAGCTTCTACTGAGATCCTATAGATGGTGGACTGTTTCTTGGATTTCCAGGAGATAGGTGAGTCGCCAAGTTTAAGCAAAAAACCAGTGACTGGTCTTCTTGTACTAACACAAGATGCCCAATCAGCATCACAGTATGTTGTGAGATTAATATCAGCACAGGCTGACATGAAAACACCAAGGCCTGGAGATTGTTTCACATACTTAACCACCCTTGTTGCAGCAACCATATGAGACACTTTAGGAGAATGCATATACTGACTGAGGCATTGAACAGCAAATGCAATATCTGGTCGAGTGATGGTCAAATATATGAGCCTTCCTATCAATCTTTGGTATTCACCTGGATCACTCAATAATCGATCATTATCATCCTGTATATGTTGATCAAATTCAAGTGAAGTCAATTTTTTGTTGACCTCCATTGGTGTTTGAAATGGCTTAGCACCTGTAAAGCCTAAATTCATGAATTGGTTAAGGCAGTTGTTAGTTTGATATTCCATTGTCTAGATGCTTGTTTGAGGCCATATAGAGACTTGGACAACTTGCAAACCTAATTGCCTTTATCTCCAGCAAAACCTAATGGCAATTCCATGTATACTTCCTCGTGTAAATC